CTGCACTGAGGGCCCGGGCCCAGGGCCCAGCTGCCCTGACCCTCCTGAGGTGGGGAGCACGGCAAGGAGGGCCACCAGCGTGCGAGGAGGCAGTCGGGGCACACAAGGGTTCAGGCCGAGCCCCAAGCACTGCCACTTGGAGCCAAAGGCACCTCAACTCCAGCAAACACAGGAGAGGACTTCTCCCTCCAACAACTCATGGCCAGGAGCCTCCCCAGGAGAGGGACGCTCTTCACACAGGCCTGGGCGGACCCTCCCCGGGGCTCGGGCACACGCAGGCGCCCCACCTGCTCTTCTAAGGGCCCTCTCCCCCTGCTTGCGTCCTCTGTTGCCTAGTGGCTCTCCCTGCCTCCCAGCAAGGCAACGTCTGCACTCAGACCACCTCCCCCTGCCCTGGGCATCCATGGACTGTCCCTGGGACAGTCAGGCCTGGAATTCCAGCCTCTGGATCCACAGCCAACACAACCAGGCAGTGCCAGGAGGGGGCAAGCTCCGCAGAGGCCACGKTGGCCTCTTCCTACCCCTGGCTGGAGTGGGACTGGGGTGGGAGCGGGAGGCCCTGCGGGGGCCTAGGCAGGGTGGAAAGGGTCCCAGCGGCAGGCTTGCGCCTCCTGGCCCCTCCTAATGTAGCCAGGGGTCCTGATAGCCCATAGGGCCGAGGGACAAAGTCTTACGCCATGCCCCAGCTGGTGAGGACTGTGTTCCCACAGCCAGACAGTGGCTAGACCACCAGCGGCTCTCTCCACGGAGCCCAGAACACYGGCTCCATGATATGATGTCCCCGAGCTGCAGGTGATGGGTGGGTCTGACCATGCCCCACCTCTTCGGGGCTCACCTGTCATCAGGGAGCGGCAGGAGTCTGCAGAAGAGCAATGCACCCAGCAATGACAGGGTCCCACGGAGCCGTCCCAGCTCCCCTGGGACTCTTCTCAGAGCTCTGACTCAGCCACGACAGCCGAGGCCCTGATACTTGGACACCACAGGTGTCTCCTAGGCAGGGGGACCCCCAGACACCCCAGTCATACTCCACGAGGAATGAACTTGAAAAACCAGCACTGCTGAGGGCAGCCTGGCTTGGAACTCTGCTGGTCCTCGTCTCCACCTCTGCACCAGCCACGTCTGCACCTCGGGCTCGATGTGCGCTCCTGGGCACCCGGCCTCACGCCCAGCCTGCGCCCCACCGCAGACGGCCCACCAAACTCTGCCCCCAGCAGTAACTGCCTTGTGGGCAGGAAACCTTGGAAAACATCAGCCTCCAGTGCCCCACAGGAGGGGTGGGGCCCAGTCCCCCTCCTCAGAGGCCTGGGGTCTCATCATACGGACCCTGCCCTCCAATGGCTCCTTCTCAGAGGTAAGATCTCGTCAAGGGGACTTTGCACCAGTCTTTGTAACCATTAGACAAATGCAAATCAAAATCATAGGCRCAGCACCTCTCCCCCAGGGAAGGCTCATGGCTAGTGCTGGTGGGGACCCGGACACGACCCTGGTGCCCCGCGGTGGGTGCAGAAAGCTGCAGTCTCGTGCTCCTCAGGGTCACACACAGAATGGCTCACAGGGCCTCCAGGAAATCCCAGGCGCCATGTGCACAGTGCAAAGTTCCAGCGGCGAAGACATAGTGTCACCAACAAATGCGTGAAGGGACACTGCTCTGCCTTAACAGGAGGGGATTCAGACATGATCCACCACATGGACGGACCTGAGCACATTTTACTACTTGAAATAAACCAAGCACAGATGACAAGTATCTCATGATCCACTGAAGTAGGTGCAGAAGAGAGAACCGGGTGTCCCCGCCACTCCTGTCGCGCCTCACCCATAGGAGGTGGCCAGGCCAGGAGGGGAGCCCTCATGGATGGGTCTGT